ACCCGGAACCCGAAACCCGGAACCCGGAACCCCGAACCCGGAACCCCAGAACCCCATAACCCGGAAATATTTGCTCTTCATAAGTATTGCATAAACTTCAATACATAATTGAGATGTCAAAAATAAAATTAAGAGAAGCAATGATGATTTTATATAATGAAAAACAAATAAAAAAATGTGAGGGATAGAAACAAAGTTCTGTGCTTCCAGAGCAACATCCCTACCAATCTGTAGTCCATTACTTAGGCGCCCTCACCCACCCCAATGACACTAATGCATCATTATATCAATTAATAAAGATATCTTAACAAAATTAATCTTTTCTTGTCTTTATTACTGTGACTTATGAAAAAAATATGTAAATACAAAGTATGTGTATTCATATGCAGATTCAATGGGAGCAAAGAAAGTCAAGAAAAGCAAATCATCGGATGAAAAGAGCAAGAGGAAAAATCCTTCAATGATGTTGCGAAATAATCAAAAAGCTCCTGGAAATGGAAATTTAATGAAATATTAATCAATTATATTTTTTAGTCCAGGAAGTGCCACATCTGAGAAGCCAAAATGCACAAGAATCAGCGACCTCACTTGTGCCGGTCATCAAATTTGAGGGATGGGCTGTCGTTCGACATCATGAATTATGGTAGTTGACCTTTGGCCACCTAACTTTACTCGCAAGACCCGGAAATCGGTACCGCCGAGATCTAGAGCATAATAAATCCCCTTTTCGTTCCTGGAACAACATGTTTGCTACAATCGGTAAAGAGATAATACTTGGAATCTAATAAAGAATCTAAAAGTCTCGCTACATTGAACAAAAATTTCTGAAAACGTAAAAGAATAAGCAACACAGATATGGAAACTGATCCTGAATTACAAGTCCAGAATCTCAAAGCATTTACACAATCATGGTTACCAGCTGAATCATACGAATCCAAGTATATCATAACAACTCAAAGCAACACATTCGATCTATGAGTAACAACTTGTGGTAATTGGATAACTATATATTTTTGTCACAGCAGAGTATCTAATAATCAAGAAGACGATATTGCTTGCCATTGAAAAAACACACAGAAACTCGGAACAGCAATTCAAAAGAAGATAAACACCAAATTTGACTAGTACTCAAACATAAAATGTAGACTAAACAACCTGTAATCTTGATATTGATTATCTAAAGTTATAATGAAAAAAGTAATCGCATGGAAGGAAGGTGGAAAGACGGGAAAACACAACACATATTATCATTAATGCGACACCTCATTTTCGGCGATTGGAAACACGCCAATTACACCAAGGCAGTAAATTAATGAATTACCTAATTACCAAAAAAAAAACACGCCAATTTCAAACACTAGTAGCAACTCATATAAGCAATTCAACCTCAAACTACACAAAAACATTTAATTAAAACTTCATCCACCCAATCCTAAACAATCAACCAAATGAATGCCACCAATGAAACAACATTCACCTTCCAACTGCTGCACATATAAGTACAAACTTGGACTAAAACCAACCCCAAGACAATTAAATCATACATGCAATAGATGTTCGCCCACACACACACACATCAAATCTGAAGCACCAAGGCCTTACCCAGTAGGGAGGTCGCAGATATAGGTGAGAAGCATCTTCAGCTTTGACCCGCCTTCGGAGGAGAAGCCCGCATGCATCTCAACCGCCATAGCATCAACCACCTGGCGCAGCCGCCACACACTGTCAAGAAGCCCTACCTGTACAAGGATAATGCTTTACACCTGGCCTGCCTTAATGATTCTTAAGAAATGCAGAATTCGCTATCATTCCAATTGCAGTAGTGTTTTCAATGGTTTCAATCTGATCTTCATAAATATCAGAAAATTTTGGAATGACTTGGCTCTAGAGTGGAAGCTTAGGAAATTTGGATTGAATCAAAAAATCAATTCAATGAAGGGAATCCTGTTTTCTACCAATACCAAAAGAGAAGCAGCAAAATGCATACACGAGGCTGAAATTAACCCAAGTACAGAGAATATACTTATCTAGCCATTTCACCACACCAAAACAGCAACATAAAAAAATAAGGAAAAATGGCAACATAAAAACAGACCTCAACTCAACTTAATGAGCAATGTTGTGTAAGCCCTAGAAGCCATACTAGCAACCTCAGCTTGCATATGAATGGCCCTCTCTTTTGGGGAAGAATCCATGAGCCACATGATGACGGGGATGTTGTAGGTGACGCCCTGGAAGAAGATTGGGACGGTGCCGTGGCCTGGAGGAGGTTGACCGTCGTTGTGGGTGAAGACGGCGGTCTTGGGCTGCAGGGAGGGGTAGGTCTCGATGAGGTGCGTGCTGGCGGATGTGACACTTCTCCTCCACGTACGGCAGGACCGTCGGCACCCGCTGCGAGAGAACGCTGAAATGGGCATCCAAAATTTCCAGTTCCCACAAACGATGAACAGGCGGAGCGTGCGGAACAGAGCCTCTGTTTATCTGTATATCCCGATTGCTGTTCGGATTAACAGGCGGCGCGTGTGTACACGAAATGCATCTTGTAACGGTAACCCTCCTGACGCCGTTGATCAGGTTAGTGACGTGGCTGAGCGCCGTGCGAATTGCGACGGTTGTTACCCGGCTGCTAAACCAGGCGTTCACCTTCAGCTTCTTCTTTCCGGTGGCCTCGTCGGTGATGAGATAGAAATAGAAATCGAGGTTCAGGCGGGCGTAGTGTGCGTGTGAGAATGAGGCGAAACCCTAGATTAGTGATGGGCTTCATTTGGGGAATATTTTATTGGTTAGTAGCTTGGGCTTATTTTTTTTGTACCTCTTAGCCCATTATCTAGAGTTTAATATGAATTCCACTTAATTGTTTGCTTCTAAATTTTTTTAGCGGTTAAATTATTACTAGTACGAATCTATGGGTAAAAAGTATTAATTAATATTTATAAATTAAAATTATTCATTAAATAATTTTTATAAATTACAAATATAGAATCAATATATTGTTAGAGTAGGGTACCCGGCGTTCCAATCTAATTGGACGTATTCTACTTGTAAATACAATCTATTGGAATTATATTATTAATAAGGCATTTCTTTATCTTAAGAGAAAGCATTTATCTTATAATTGCACTTAAGATAAAATCCCTAGATCACTTATGGTTATAAGGTATGGTTACGCATAGAGATGGTGATCATGGAACATACCTTGAAAGCCGTGATCTTAAATACAGTTCCAAGTCGATGGATGTTTCGAGATGGGATATCGAATAATCCATAAAAGACTTGCA